TATATATATATATATATATATATATATAAAATATTCCAGTATGTACTCCCAATATGTTAATAATTTAGTTTTTGTCTCTGCTACTAAATTTAATATATTTGTTCAATGTAATATGGTTAATAATCAAATTTATTGTATTATTGTGAACTTCCAAAGTGAGACTATTCAATTGTTTACTCACCATTTTGGTAAAGCTGTTCATCACTCCAGTGTGGATTTATTTGTTGTAGATAACTTACAATCCTGTTGTGTTCCCTCATCATGATTGTGTGGATAGCTGCTAAAGCAGGTTGTTCACTGGCCCTAGAGTCACCTGGAGAAATAAGATTTTAAGTAAATAAACTACTTATAAGCTATTCAAACATATTATCAACAACTTTTGATCAAAGAAAACTACCTACATAGACCAGAACTAAAAATTAACTCAGTAAATAATGTAGCTAGTATAATATATCAGTCTAAGTAGAAGCATGCATGTCACAAAATAAAACTTATAATGATTAGAATTTATCAGTTAGGCACAATTTTTGTGATAAATATTTTTTTCTGTAACCCCAACAACATCTCACAAAGTTTGGCCAATCTAGAAGATCTAGGTTAGTATGAAGTCCATGGTCTAAACCAACAATGCAATAACAGCTACACAGAGAGGAAAACAATCTAGCTCTGAAACATGTTATTTAACCCCTGGTTATAGAATTTACTATATATATATATATATATATTAATTTTCTTGAATACTTCCTCCTCTATAATTTCAATAGATATTCTAATTTCTTATTTTTCCCAATTTTTTATAGACTGAGGTACATCGGAGTTCACTGTTCTTATTTGCTTTGTACGATAACCCAAATAATAAATTATGATACATTCACAACGACATTTGCTGTAAAATTAGAATGAAAATATTATGATACAAAAGATGATGTTTTCAAACCAGCTCCAGTAGGTTAGGATGTTCCAAAGAACTTGTAAATAGAGATAAATGAATTTTTTAAGTAAAAGAACAAGCTTCATTTACCCATGTTAGTTTGAAGACAATTTATGGCTATAGTAGAAAACATAAATTTCAAAATTTTTCCTGGCTGACTAGTGATGTGCCAGGTTTGACTACACTCTCTCATACAAATGGTGGTCTATATTCATAAGTCACAATTAAGAAAAGATGACAAACACAATTTTGTTCCATTAAAAATGAGCAAGTACAATGTTTTAATTTTTTAAATTAATGATTAAAACCATGTACGTATTTAATGAACATTCTTATATTCTCACATATACTAATTTTAAATTCTAACTGCATATTTTGAGTAGTAACATTTAACTTCCCCTCATCTCTATGACAACCAATATTTGACCTTATTATAGAAGACAACATTACATATACCTTTTATCTTGCTTTTTAAAATTTTATCAAATAAATTCCATGGACTAGCATAAATATTAATGACGAAAATTGACTTATAAAAGTTTATCTTCACTCATAATGCATAACCATGTATAACTTTGATGCAGTCAGTTTTTTTTATTTTATTCACATATATACAATTCTTTAACATTCTGTTTTTATTAAAGTTATTTATGTTTTGAGTTCATATTCAAAGGAAAGAAATGATTTGCCTTAGAAGTTCTGTTATAAAGTGTATACAATTAACTAATTTTCTGTGTATTTAGGTTTTTTTATATTTTGTGCACTGTGAATTCTGTTGTTCAAAACTTATATTTTCTTAGACAGCATAAATGTTCTCAAAAATCACATAAGTAGAAAATAAAGGAAACTGCCAACTCTTGGGCTATTCCTTTACCAATGAATAGTGGGACTGACCATCACTTTATAATATCCCCACAGTTGAAAGGGGAACCATGTTCAAGGATGGGGACTCAAACCCATGACCTGCAGGTTGCAAATCAGGTGCCCTAACCACCAGGCCTTATCTAATGACTATTACAATTATGATGTTCCAAAAGAAAAATGCCATAAATTATGCTAATTTTACAGAGATGGTGTTCCAAAATTTAAATAGCACAGATGAAATGTGTGGAACCAAAAATACTAATAAGCTTTTTTCAAGTAATGATGGCAAAAAAGCCTACAAGAGTAACTACAAACATAATTAAATTTTTCTTGAAATTTACCAGCTTCAAAGCATAACCCAGAGGGTGCCCTGCATTCCTTATGAGTTGCTGTCTGAGGTAACAAATCTTTTCCATTCAAGGGATGACGAGTAACATTTAACCCTCCACCAATGAAAGACCTTAACATTCGAGCTTCACATTTGTCTGACCCATAAACTTGGGATGCATCAACAAAGGCTGTTACCTGATTTAACTGTTCCCGACGGCCTGAAATTAAAAAACAAATACAGCTTGTAAATATCATTATAAAAAATAATGACAGCTTAATCTTACTTAGATGCCAAATTAACTTGTTAGATCCAAAACTTTTAAAAACCACAAACATCAAAAAAAAGATAATAAAGGCAATTCAAAATCATTAAACATTGAATTTCTTTAGCCATAGTACTGAAAATGGGAGGCAATAATGTACAATAAAACAGACAGAGATAATATTCAAACAAATGTCCCAATGTTATGTGTCATGAATTTATAAAGTCTTCTAATTTTATATTAACCACTGATTCAAATTCACTGACCAAGTGTTAGTTGTCCAGAGAGTGACCGTACAAAAGATATGCAGTTTGGTTGACCAGTAGTCAAGTTGACAGGTGGATAGTATGGGTCATTGTTGGGAATGCTTATTGGTAAGCACTCTGGATGTATTTTACTAGAGGAATCACAATCTTTACAATTCAGAACTGATCCTTTAAAACCTACAAAACATAAAGCAGATACTTATCCTCTGAAAACTTTAAACAAAATAACACTAACAAGATTAGCTTACTGTACTAACCTACTTGGTATGTGACAAGTCTGAGGTTCAGATCTGAGATGATGAAATAATAATATTGAAATTACTACATATATGCTAAAACCTCTAAAAACTATACTTTAAATCATTCATTTTTATGAATACGTTTTTTGTTTAAAAAAAAGAAAGATATCATTGAAAAACTGATGTTAAAGTTTTAATGAACTACCTTTGCTAAGATATCACATGGATTGTGTCATCTTTTCTAAACTATTTTCCTCTGGTGTGACAAATTTTGTCTAACAAATAAATATATCACTAAACTTCAATTAGCTGTTCTTGCCTTTGCACTTTTTCAGTTTTATGGACTTTTTACTGTCATCTGATATGCATATTCTCTTTTATGGTTGGACAGAAAAGCAAAAGTATAAGTTCAAAGTCTTTCATTGCACTTCTGATGAATCCTATTCACCAAGATGCCAAGTGAGTTATGCCATCTCTCTATACTGTATTTTTTCACAATGTTTGAACTTAAAAATCACAATTATAGAACTTTACTTTACAAAATATTGATCTAGTCAACAAAAGGATACATAACAATTACCATATTATAACTAACTATACAGTGTAGATTCACTAAAACATAAACAGCAGATATGCTTACAAATAAGTTTAACTAATTACTTGGTTTGGATTATTTTAAATTTTGTGCAAGGCTGCTCAAGGGCTATCTGCACTAGCCATCCCTAATTTAGCAGTGAAAGACTAGAGAGAAGGCAACTAGTCAACACCATCCACTGCCAACTCTTGGGCTAATCCTTTACCAATGAATAGTGGGACTGACCATCACTTTATAATGTCCCCACAGCTGAAAGGGGAACCATGTTCAAGGATGGGGACTCGAACCCATGACCTGCAGGTTGCAAATCAGGTGCCCTAACCACCAGGCCTTATCTAATGACTATTACAATTATGATGTTCCAAAGGAAAAATGCCATAAATTATGCTAATTTTACAGAGATGGTGTTCCAAAATTTAAATAGCACAGATGAAATGTGTGGAACCAAAAATACTAATAAGCTTTGTCAAGTAATGATGGCAAAAAAGCCTACAAGAGTAACTACAAACATATTAAATTTTTCTTAGTAGTATTCAATTGTAGCAACATAAATCTATGGCACTAATATAGGTGTTTGAAATCACTCAAACATATAAAAACTGGCCACTTATTGATTATAATATTAGTTGCAGTTATATTTAACTTATTGAAATGTGAAAAAAAAACCTTTATTGACTCCTTCTGTGGTTTACCTTCATTCATTGGGGTAAAGGTTATGTCATGGTCTAAGAATTGTCCCCACTGCATCACCATCAGCGAATAACGAACATGGGGGGCACTCACATCATAATGTACTGTGGTTGAAATTACTCTGGGACTTGGAAGTGGTGCTCTTTTGATGCCAAATTTTCGTGGCTCACTCATATCTTAAAATATTAAAAGAAAAAAGTCAAAATTTCCTGTTTTTATTTTTAATGTATAAAAAATATTTGTTCAATAAATGTGCTACATTTGTGTAAAATATCATAAATGTGTGGTTAGTATCTATTAGTTGTGCAATGTTACTTCTCAGCTTTCTTAGGTGAAATAATGAATAATGTACACATAACTCATCATCAGTGTTACATACAAACACCTGGTGGATTTTATGATACAACTACCAGATTGAAACATTCATCACCTTTTTCTTATGAACATAAGGTCATTGAAATGTGCTAGTAACCAATGATATTTTATTTTCTGACTTACATATTCATTTGTTTCTCATCTCTTTCTGTTTATAATATACAAGTAGTTATTTTTCATCTATTTCCACCATTTTTAAAGTTTTTGATTCGTTACTAATTTTAAGTACTAGTTGCACAATTTCTTTTCAGTTGCACATCAAAATGTGCAATATAAATCACTTCATTTGTAATTCCTACTTTGGAACACGAATGTAGTATCAAGTGTAAGAGTATACACATTACTCGAATGAATTCTGATCCATGTTTTGAAATAATGTAAATGTTTAGTAATGCTATGTTTCCCAATACTGAAACTCATCATTTTAGAGCTCACACTCAATTGCTTATTCATGTTCATCAAAAATCATATGACAAAAGTGTAAATGCAGTTGATAAAATCGATGTCAGGTCAACTTTTAATTTCAGAGGTATAGCATATGGTATTTAATGTTTTGTTTTCAGCACCAATAGTTTTGCCTTATATATAAAATCTAATTATTACTTTTCACTTCCCAATGACTCTATTTAAGTACTGCTTTAAAACATTACAACCTTCTTTATATTATTACCAAAAAATTTATGGGAAGTGTTTGAAGAGGTTGAAGTTTAAATTCTTAATACTCTTTATATATTTCCTTAATAATCATTAAAAAAGAGATGTTAACAATAGATGTTGTAATAAACACTGTTCCATTTGATCCAAATCTAAAATAACAATAACATGAGTATTATCAAAGACCTGTATTACCACAGCTATCACATAAGTTGATGCAACATGTGTTCAAGAACAACGTCAATCTAAATGCATTTTGTTTTAAATTACTAAGGTTGTCATAAATCTACCAATCAAACCACCCCTTATACAAGTTGATAAAACATTTCAAAAAAGTACTGATACTTATCTTTCTATTGCTAGAAATATAACAAAATATTATCTGTATAAATAAAAAATATAAATAATAAGCTGAGTTTAAGTTATAAGATATTATACTGAATGTAATTATTAATTAAAATATTAGAGAAAAACAAGTTCATTCTTGTTTTAATTTCAGACAACAGTGACGGATATCTACTTGAGTCTGTGCCACTTTTTTGAGTTACTTAGTTGTCCAATAATATCTAAACATTTGTTTTTGTGCTTTATGTGTCACTTGTCGATATGTCGAGCACATACTCACCATCATGATAACTAGGAGGAAGTAGTCGGTTGAAGATTCTCAAACTTTTACCATATTCTGGATTATTCAGATTATTACACCAACCAGTAATGGTCCTAAACTTAGTTGTATGATCACATGGCAATGTTTGTTCATCACAATCAAACACTTTTGGAATGTCTAGAAAGTCTTGGACATCAATGTTAGGAAGTGCTACCATTAGTTCTTTTATGTTGGTGGGAGAGCCACTACTGTCTTCTTTGTCTCGTTGATTACTAAAAGATTGAATAAACTAATGAGGGTTAGCCAAAAAATGTTATTCTAGTTAAACTGGCAATTTGTTAAAAAAAACTTAACAAGTTTACAAGAAAAACATTTAGATACTATTGTTGCATAACATTTTTCCTTTAACAGACTTAATAGTATAATCTTATATGAGATCAAAATGCTTAATGCTGCTACCAACTTTAAAGACTGAGACATATATGAAGGTTAGTATGTGTTGTGCATATAAAAAAATTACAGAGTAGTATCTCAGGTCAGCACCATTTCGATATGTACAACTCTTTCTTGTGGATGTATATTCTTAAAACACCACCATGAAGTTGTATAGTATTCAAGACTGTAGTTCTGTCTTTTAGATTTATTAATGTCAAGTCTTGAAAAATGTACTTCCATTTTTAGATGGTTAATATTTTAAACTCAAATTATAAGAAGAATTGTATCACTGCCATGCATAGAACAGAATTTGTTATCTAATGAATATGCTGTATCACTCATATCATAAAATTAGCTCTGAAGAAAAAGATGCAAGTTAATAGGTGTATAACATATGTAAGAGATGCAAAGCAAACTAATATTTGTGCACAAGGATAGTATTCAGAGTAGTGAAATAGGTTTGCAAGTTCATACAAATATTAATTTATATTTCAAAAAGTCACATGATAGACCACTTACCAAGATAACCTTTGACCTTACATGAAATATTCACTGACATTTAAAAATGATGATAAGAGAATGATCTCTTACTCCGAGCCATCTTGTTGTGTTGGATTAACATGTAGCATCCTCTAGTAATAGTTTTAAATCAAATCATAACCCTAAAACAAAATGTCCAATCACTTCTAAATTCTAACCTAAAATTGCCTTCAAAACATAATAGCCATTTGATGAGTTGCCAAAACAATGCCTTTAAGTTCCACACTGAAAATATGTTTAATAGTTTTATCCTGACAGATTACGTAACTCTCTCAATATTTAGTGTTGTCTTGTATAGAGTATGAAATGTTTCATACTGTACATACTTTCATGTTTAGCATATGAAATACTCTATGTTACTATGTAAAAGTTTTGCACAGGGTAGGTAAGCCTGTACATACTTTCATGTGTAGTGTATGAGATACTCTTTGTTATTATGTAAAGGTTTTCCACAGGGTAGATGAGCCTGCACATACTTTCATGTTTAGCATATGAAATACTCTATGTTACTATGTAAAAGTTTTGCACAGGGTAGGTAAGCCTGTATATACTTTCATGTTTAGCATATGAAATACTCTATGTTACCATGTACAAGTTTTGCACAGGGTAGGTAAGCCTGTACATACTTTCATGTGTAGTGTATGAGATACTCTTTGTTATTATGTAAAGATTTTCCACAGGGTAGACGAGCATGTACATACTTTCATGTGTAGTGTATGAGATACTCTTTGTTATTATGTAAAGATTTTCCACAGGGTAGACGAGCCTGTACATACTTTCATGTACAGGTTTTGTACACAGCAAACTTTTATTTATGTCTTATTTTTATCATACAAAGTGAGCTACCAAATACTCATATGGTTTTGTCTTGAAAATATGACAAATTTCTTCACCACATGCATTATTTGTTATTTAGAGGATAAAGAAACTATTTCCATGTACCATCTGTTCTTTATTCAAAATGTTCAGTTGACACATAATGAGCATATACATGCCAGTAGGTAAGTTAACAAAAATACTCATTTTAATACACTAGAGCCATGATTCAACCTTAATACTAGTCAACTCAGCAATATTTGAAAACTTTAATAGGAAAATATTAATACAAAATCACACATGCATATTTTACACAATGAAAAAATGTATCATGTAATACCAACAGTACAAAATAAAACACATAACACAATGAAATAAAACATTTCACATTACATCTGTTACTAGCTAAGGTGCCCAGAAATGCTGACTTCAAATGTAATGCTATAAATGGCTGCTCTTTTCCACTGTTTGTAGCTGTAGAACATGAACCATTCATCCAACTGCTTATAAAACTTAAAATCGACATTTAGGAGTCCAACTGAGTTCCTCTACCAAAGTTAATTGAAATGGTTTCAGCAATATGTGGCATCAGAAATTTGAGCAACTCTACTCTATATAAATACATGACATCTATAAGAAAAATAACTTCACACTGTATATTGTTTTCATAAGGAGCTGTTGTTGTTGTTTTTTTGATGTTGAGCACAAAGCTACACAAAGGACTATCTGTGCTCTCCCACCACAGTATCGAAACCCGGTTTGTAGCAGTACAAGTCCACAGACATACCGCTGTGCCACTGAGGGGGTCATAAGGAGCTTCATAATCATATTGCATTCATAGGCATATCAAGGGGGAACACAGTTTCTTATGTTGAGAAAGTCATGTTTGTCAGGAAAATTGTGAAAAATACAGTGTTTTTGCCAATTTCTATGCATTGTTTTATTGAAATTGTAAGTATACTAATACTGTATTTGAACAATTGCTGCAAGTAAGAAAAACAGTAATAATTATTTATATGTAATATTTTGCTTTTCCATTTTTAATATATCAGTTTGATTGTTATATTTTGTTTGAAGTAGTCTGTTTATTCAAAAAACGACTTTCTCAAAACAAACACCAAATCTATCATTGCTACTGCATATTTTATATCAATAATACATGTTCTTCAAATCCTGTAAAAATATAGGTTCACTGTGATGGGTAAAAGACAAGTAAAAAACACCATATATCAAAATTTGTCATTCCTAAGTTTTGATTTTCTGACTTCATTGGCATTATGACGACAACAAATTCATTAATGACATTGACTACATAACTGATCATTTTGCAAAAAGAATTCCTGGTTCTTTATGTAATTTTTTTGTAAATAAATTGTAATTCACTCTTGAAACTTGTGTTAAAGTCTGCTAAAGGTATATTATTTTTCTGTCATAAAACTGCAGCTAAACGGCCCCCTGCTAAACTCTTGACTTGCTACTCCTATGAGTACATCCTCACTATTTTGTATTTCTGTTCATTATTGCCATTAATTTCTTCAAAAACACTAACAAGAAAGAATATTTCTTCACCTGCTTAGTATATTTGACACAAATCCCTGTGAAGCAAACTCCAAAACGGTTGACTGGTTGGAAATCTGCCGAGCTTGACGTTTAGGACGAAGAAATCCTAGATGTGCTGCTTCTGGACTTTTATCATCTGCAACACCTACATCTAATGCAAACATTAAAAACAAAAAAATTGTCAAAGCTGAGAAATTTTACTAAAGTTGTTGCAAGAACAGCTAACTGCAAACATAAAGCACTTGTGTTTTCTTGACTATACTGTTAAAATAAAAGCTATAAACCTTTTTGATTAGCTGTTATAGTATTTATTTAAAATTACTTCAGCAAAGTTCTGGTATACCACAACACACACACATACATTCACTTTCAAAAGATTATTTAAAGGATATGTTTTTATATAACTTAGACAGCTCTTTCAGCCCTGGAGTCCTGATTAAAGGATATATAGGTACTCGTCAAGAGATATATATCCAAATAAGAATGAAAATAATCAACCAATAAGTGTATATCATTCATAATTGTTTACATTTCTACCTTTCTTGCTATATGCCAAAAACCTGAATTTTGAGTACCTCAGTTATTTGTTTATTATATATTTTTTATTGTATTATCTGCTATCATGGCCAACACTAAAAGAAATATTTTTCATCTATTGCCTCTCATACCTATATATAGCTGGAGATATGACTGTAATTAATAAAATCAACACAAAGGTAAGCAAATTATACAATACTCATTCGCAACATTTTCAGTAAATTCACTAATTGATAAACAGAAACCATCCATAATTCCCATTTTCAACAATAGGATATCCTAATTTTTTTTGTAATATAAATACCAGTTAACATACATTTTCTTTAGAATTGATTTCTGACAAACACAACATGTTTAATGAAATTCAAATGTACAAAAAACGAGTTAAATCTTATGGTAGTACTAACAGCCTCCTCTCTCACTAACACAGAATTTCCAATGTTTTCAGAATTCTTTAGACACCAAATAAACTAGACTATAAAGAAGTGACAAGAAATATTATGTACACTTTGAACAAAATGAGGCATCAGGGTAGCTAAAGGAATTTTGGTACTTAAAATGTTTGATTTCAGGTCATGCAGGTCTAATTCTTACTATCAGTAATCTTGGCTAACATGCTTTTGCAACTGAAACTTTACACTAAAGACGCATCAATGGATACAGAAAAGTTTTATTTTTATCATAGTAAGGAACAAATTTACAATGTTACACTTACTGTTATTGAAGCTTTCCCTCTCAGCAGATTTCAAATCTTGAGCCTGTCTTTTACCTCTCTTCAAAGAATCTTTAAGTAGATTATTAGGAACAACAAACAATGGGGATGCTGTTGATAAAGAAGAATGATTCAATTCTTAAAAACAACAAATAACAGGGATTTTTTTTGTGGATAAAGAAGAATGATTCAGTTCTTAGAAACAACAAACAATGGAAATGCTGTGGATAAAGAAGAATGATTCAGTTCTTAGAAACAATAAACAGTGGAAATGCTGTGGAGAAAGAAGAATGACTCATTTCTTAAAAACAATAAACAATGGAAATGCTGTGGATAAAGAAGAATGACTCAGTTCTTAAAAACAACAAACAATGGAAATGCTGTGGATAAAGAAGAATGACTCAGTTCTTAAAAACAACAAACAATGGAAATGCTGTGGATAAAGAAGAATGACTCAGTTCTTAAAAACAACAAACAATGGAAATGCTGTGGATAAAGAAGAATGACTCAGTTCTTAAAAACAACAAACAATGGAAATGCTGTGGATAAAGAAGAATGATTCAGTTCTTAGAAACAACAAATAACAGGAATGTTATGGATAAAGAAGAATGATTCAGCTCTTAGAAACAACAAACAACAGGAATGTTATGGATAAAGAAGAATGATTCAGTTCTTAGAAACAATAAACAACAGGAATGCTGTGGATAAAGAAGAATGACTCAGTTCTTAAAAACAATAAACAACAGGGATGTTATGGATAAAGAAGAATGATTCAGCTCTTAGAAACAACAAACAATAGGGATGTTATGGATAAAGATGAATGACTCAGTTCTTAGAAACAACAAACAATAGGGGTGTTATGGATAAAGAATAATGTGGTAAAGGAGAGTAAATACCAGAAACAATATTGAGAGATACTGAGAAAAGTGTAAATATACATTTTGTAGATTCTCAAGATTATGCAAGTGTAATATGGAACTGTACAATGAGCAAAAGTATTTTTATCTTTCACATGAACATTACCTAAAACTCTAACTTGTCAGAGTCAAACTGGCACTGTGAATTTACAGACATATCTTGAGTACAAATACATTTGTAACACATCTGATTATGTGTGTACAACAGACTTGTACATTTTACTAAAAGCTTGCCACATTTTACATAGATGCACTTAGTAAATGCAGCATTATAATCAACATTCCTTTTCCAATATGACGTTCCATGTGTTAAATCAACCCTGTGCACATATGGGTAATATAATGTCAGCCTTAATAAATTCAAATTACAATGCTTTAACATTTCACATTGTTTTTGAAAGGAGTTTTTAGAAGTCTTTTTCAAATAAGGTTTAAGTTTGTTACTTAACTGAATTTGTTAATAAAATTATTTACATTTAGATTACTTTTTTATCTCACTATTTTTCTCATTGATGGACTTATAATTCTCTTCACAAACCTGTTTGCCACTTCTTCAGGTCTAAAGAAGATATGTCCTCAGTGTTACATGTTTGGTAGGCATTTCTAAAAATAAATGTGAATGATAAGACTTTATTCACTTTCAAATTATAAAAGAAAAATATATACAACAATAAAAATGTTTTGACATTATAACTTTATGAGTTTTCTATATCCTAGAGTTTGTAAACACTACAATCAAGTAAACTGCTTGATACTTATATGAAGTGAAAAACATCTGTCATTTCTAGGCAGTTTGAGACCAATAACTAAGATATGTATTCCTAAGTAATGAATAACTAATGCATCCATGCATTTTGTGAAGACTAATCAATCTTTGAAAATATAAAGATCTCTTCACATTTTTGTTTTATTATGTACACATAACAGAATTAAAGATTAAGTCCATCCATGTCTAGATGGCACATAGGAGCTGGAGCTTAACTGTGTTTTCAGTGGCATAAGTAGATGAAAATGGTGACACAGTCCTCCTGGAGAGGATTCTAGTCCATCAAGGGTTAACTCCTGGCCATCAGTTGGTACTCATTTTACAGCTGGATAGACTGAAGCAATTGAAGTAAAGTATCTTACCAAAAGACATGATAACAAGGCACAGGCAAAACTTGAGCCTACAACCTTTTGACTATGAGTCCTATGCACCAACCACTGGGCAACACTGTCCCCACATAATAGCATTAAACCTTATAAAGTATAAATGGACATCTAAATATGTTACTTGGATGATGGTCAAATAACATTAACAAAGAGGGTATACAAAATTGGTGATTCAGTGCAATCGAACAGAGGTGGAAGATAAGTGGAATACAGTAATTGATTAATCATTGGTCACATTACTCTATTACATTCAACTAATTTATTATTTTTGCATGAAACTTGGATAGTTAGAATAATTGAAAATATTAATAACTTGAAACACTAATTTTGATTAGTTGATTATTTTCATGAATCATGACACTAATAAATTTTAATAATCAAAAGTACTAATGAGAAATCATTGATTAATTGCTTATTTTCATGACATTAATGGATTTAACTGTAATTTTGATTAATCAATCATCCTATGTGACACTCATCAATGTAACGGATTCTCATATGTAATTGATTATATCAATTAATCAAGTTCATCATTCTGCTCTACAATGTAATAGTCCTTTGATCATGATTCATTTTCAGTCCAATTCTTAATGATTAGTATTTTCAAACTATACTGTAGAAACTACATTCCACTTTTAGATAGTTACTGTTAAATGATACTATGAAATTGTTTGGCTAAACCATATTTTATTATAATGATTGACCTAGTTATTGATCTAACTTAAAACTGCCTCAAAAATTAAGATAATTAATTAAATTAAATAACAGAATTAACACTTATAAACTCTTTTGGGTGATAGAAAGTTAGAAGAATAACATGTATTATAATGGATAAACAAATAATACAGAGCTAAATACTAATCAAAAGCAGATATCAAAGTACAGTCATATCAAAGCTTTTAAAAATAAGATCTACAAGAATAAATGATTGTTTAAATTTTTCTGCATGCCATAAATTCTTATTAATATTTTTCTACTTACAAGAAAGGATCACTGATCAGCATTGTTGAAGGTTGTATAAAATCTGCTTTATCTGCATTGTCGCACAATACTCGAGCCAAAGTCACTTTCCTGATTTCTTTCAGTTGTTCTGTCAAATATGCAAAATATATATATACATACAATAAAACGTTGTCCAATTTGTGATAAGTCAGAGCTCAAGTCTATTATTGCATGCATACATATATACATTTTATTGTATTTAATAAATGGATATGTGTCTTCAAGAACTGTACAAGAATTTGGTTGCTGAAACCACTAAGGTTTAGATAAGAATACGAGTATATACAGCAGTCGAAAGAGGTGGATTTGTAACTTAACATTTAAAACTTGCTCAAGAAGTTTAAAGCCACGACAGTTCTTTGAAACCAAGAAATATTTAAGTAACACTAAAGTTCCAGAGATGTATATAATATATCATTAAAACACAGTCTATATTTGTCTTGATACTATTACTTATATTCCAAGAAATATTTACATAAAACCTATAGTTATTAAAATACTTAAAATTAACTTTAAAAAAAACACTATACTAAAAACTTGAAATTAGTTGAATGTATTGAACCTTCTATACATTACTGTAATCAATTGTTGTAGATTATTGGGAAAAAGATGGCTGACAGGTTCACTCCACGATCACTGAAAATCCCAGGGCAATTTCACAACTTTTCCTGGAACTAATATTCAGTTACTAAAAACGTTAATGTAAAATCTTTTATTTGTTGTTTAATAATCTATGCAATATTAGCTTTATTGCAATCTCAAGTAAATAGCATTAAGTCCTCCACATGTTATAAAGTTGTTTGTTAGTAAAAATCAGGGAACTTTTCATATGCACCTCATGTTATTGTCTATATATCATTTACTTGTACATTTTAGTGCAAGTCTAATATTTTTCTAAAGAAAACAAATTATCTTTCTCAATTATCTTAGTTTTAATAGTATTCTACCAATCAAAGATACACAAATATACTAACTAGATTCCAGAAAACAAAAGTGCACTGATTAGTTAACATAATCTTAGAAATGTAGGTAATGAAGTTTTATAAGAAGAGGGAACAGAATGGTATTGAATAGCATTCTGTCTCTTGAGGATTTAAAGCATTAGTGTTAGTGGTCTACTAATTGGAAGAAAAATGTTCTCTGTTGTACTATGCGTGATCTACGCTGCTACTACAAAGCAGACCATAAAGTAGAGTTTCACATCTTTCAAAATCACAATTTAACCACTTATCAAAATAAATATATCACAGCAATAATCATTATCAAACACGTTGGAAATATGAAATGAATAATAAATTCAATCTTAGACATGTTTTTTCAACTTTATATTTCTCAAAATAGCAAGTAATTTCAAAGCAAAGTAATATATCGAAAAAACAATTCTTCAGTATTCTGTAACTTACTACCTGGCACTGTTTCAGTCTATACATATATCATAAATGATAAACCACCTCATATTGAGTTTTATATATGAAAGTTAGTCATGATAAGTAAGTAAAAGTATTTCATATAAAGTAATTTGAGTGTTCATAACTTACACAATGGAGATATTCTTATAGAAATTAAAGAAAGAAACAAACAAACAAATATTTCTCTATGATCACTGACACATTATTCCATGCATCATTCAATCACTCTGAATGGATGTATTATATCACAAACAGAACATTCATGTTTGTCAGGAAATTATTATTAAGCAACAGAAGAAAGATTTTACAAAATAAAATAGGTAAATAGCTATAAGAAGATATTTTTACGATAGGGGAAGTCACGCAACGCTGGGAGCATGCACACTGGAGTTTCTCGAAGGATCATGAATTTTCCTGGCAACTCTAGTTTGTTCGATGCACCCTCTTTTTTAGTATATAAGCCTCACGAGAATAACAAGTGAGACTGAATAGATATGCAGATAGATCGAAGAGATACATTGAAGAGATAGATAATTGAGTCAAGCGAACAGTAGATGCCATAAGTAAAGTGTGTGATCACTGTGATTTATAGCGTGTGTTATAAAGGTTGTAAAGTTTAAAGTGACTGTTAAAATTCTGTGTATTACAAAGTTGTATCAAGAAAGAATAACCTAGTTTTAATTAAGAAAGGACTTGTATCACTGAAGTTCCTCGGAAAGAATTTATACCAAAAATTAACAAACAAGCAGATACGTAACTAATTGGTGTGAGAGAGTGGAACAGAAAAAAAAAAAAAAAAGGTGGAAACGAGAAGTGGCAAATCAAACTACAGATTAGCAGATTTGATGGCAGCATTACAAGAACAGCAAAAGAAACAAGAAGAATGAGAAAAGAAACAAAAAGAGAGATTACAGCAGTTGTTGGAGGAAAAAGAAAAGAACCAAGAAAAGAGATTACAGCAGTTGTTGGAGGAAAAGGAAAAGAAACAAGAAGAGAGACAACAGCATTGGCAAGAAAACCTGCAACAGTGGCAGCTCGAACAGCAAAATAAACAACAGAGACTACAGCAGTGGTTGGAGGAGAAAGAAAATAAACAAGAAGGAAGTCTCTAACAGTTGAGACAAAACCAGCATATATAAATGGAAAAGATGAGTAAATTTCAAAGTGAATTAAATACATTAAAGGACGATTTACTGTCTTTTACACAAGGAGGATATATTAGCCATTGACCAAATAAGCCCCAGACAACAGGAAGCCCCTTCCAAACCCTGCAGCTAAACCCTAATGCATGAGTGTCAGCAATAGGGGTGATCTATTACAAAGGAAGCCACAGGAATTCGATGGGAAGCATAAAAAGCACAATTTGAGCTCCTGGCAGAAATGAGTGGATGGACAGAGGAGCAGAAAGCAGTGTACCTGGCAATGAGCTTGAAGGAACAACCACTGGAAATACTTGGACAGTTGTCAGCAGACGACAGGCACAACTATAGAGCACTGGTAGCTGCTCTAGAACTCAGGTATGGAACTCAAAATCAATCTGAAGGCGACAGGGCTAGGTTTAGGACTAGAGTTTGTTGCTGAGGCATCAGTTTATAGATGCCTTGGACAGTCCACAACTAAAGATACAAGTGAAGCAAGCACACCCCTCTACTATGCAGGATGCAATGGCCAGAGCTCTTGAATTCGAATCCTACATTAAGTCCAGCACAGATGTACCAAGGTTGGTACAGTCATCAGGATTCAAGGCCAGAAAATGGTAGCTCTCAGAGGAGTTTGAAGGACTTTGCTGGCACTGTAACAAACCTGGGCACAAGAGAGCTCAATGCCGGTAACTTCAAAACAGGGAAGATGCCACGGCAGGAAAGGCTGCTACCTAGAAAGGTTGTTGGAACTGTGGAGAGCAAGGACATATGAGAAGACAGTGTAAGAAGAATACTACCAATAAGTCAGCTTCGGGAAACCAGTAGTGGTTGGTGCTGGGGAATGCCCACCAACCCCCCCTTGTGAAAGTCCCAACAGCTAAGTGTAAAATGGCAAGCACACATAGTGTCTACGTGACAGGAAAGCTGGAGGGCCAAAAGTGCAACTTTGTCATAAATTCTGCATCCCAGCAAACCCTTGTGAGTATCAGAGTGCTAGATCACAAAGGAGTACCAGAAGCCATACAGAAGCTCTGTGGTGTGACAGGACATTATTTAAGGTTGTGGGGACCA